GGTGGTGTAGCCTAAGGCATTTGACTGCTAACCAGAAGGGTGGTGGTTCAAATGCACCAGCCACTCCTCGGAAGGAAGGTTGGTCAATCTACTTCCGTAGTGATACTGCCTGGGAAACCCAAAGAGGGGACTCTATGAGTCGGATCCAACTCCATGGCAGTGGTTGCGTTATTCAACCAAGGATACTACTTATAAAGTTAATAATACAAATGTCAGAGTGGGAGAAGCTTTTTGCAGTTTCCAACACCCAAGGAATTAATATTTAGATGATGTGAGGAACTCTTGAAATACAAGAAGAGGTATATGAGAATTTGCCCAATAGGAATATGGGCAAAAGATATAAACAAGCAATTTGCATAAGGAAACCCCAAATCAAACAAGGACATGAAAAGATGCTCAAAATCATTGTCAATCAGAAAAATTTAAATGAATGAAACCCACCAACCACTCCTTGGAACGAAGGTTGGGCAATGTACTTTCGTAGTGATACTGCCTTGGAAACCCAAGGAGGGGTCGCTATGAGTCGAAATTGACTTGACGGCAGTGAGGTGTTTTGTTTTGTTTTTTTGTATTTATTAAACCGGGGAATTTTAGACAGCTGGATAATGCTAAGTGTTAGCAGGGATAAGGGAATGTAGGCACCTTCATACTTTGCTGGTAGGAGTATAGGCAGTACACCCATTCCAGATAAAAATCTGGCACTGCTTACAGAAATTAAGTATGTTCATCCCCTATGATCCAGCAATTACTTTCTGAGTATACATCCTAATGAATTTTTCACACTGGCTTATAAGGGAGCATTTACAAGGCATTATTTATTGTTAGGGGCAACCCAAGTGTCCCTTGTTAAAAGCATGGAGGTACTTATGATGTGAGTTGTGAGTCACTTATGATGTAGTACCTAATTTACTACAAATGATGTAGTAGTTTATTGCTACCATTAGAAGTAACAGATAGATTAGATGTACACATGGCAACACAGATGGATCTTAAAAACATAATGTTGGTTGAAAAAAAAAATAACACTACAATTTAATTAAATGCATAGACACAAAAATGCAACATTTATATGAAATCATGTAAAAAGTTACACATTAAACAATAAAATGGTTGACTCTGGGAGGAAGGGAATGGAAGTTCAGTGTTGGACTAAAAGAGAATAAATGAAAGAGGTTTGCATGGAACAACGATGGTGGAGTATGATCAGAGTTCAGACAATTTGAGAGGCAAACAAGTACATTTTTGTATGGAGGGGTCTCATATTCTCTGAGGGAGACGAGTATGTATGTATGTATGTATGTATGTATGTATGTATACAGTGTGAAATCGATTCAAGTCCATTCTGGGGATAGGAGGTCTGGATATGGTGAAAGACAAGCCCATTTTGTTGATGTACTCTGTGTGCTGTACTCTGAAGGTTAATCAATCTAGTCTGTGTTTTGGAGGCTGACCCTTAGAAGGCTAGATAAGTCCATTCTATGGATAAGAAATGTAGAGTCTCTGAGGGCAAACAAATCTATTATTCCTTGATGGAGACCTCAGAAATTAAAAGTCTGTTAAATGGATTCATTGTAAAGGTAATTCAAACACTTAAGTCTGGACAAGACCAAATCGTGGACAGTGGGCTCAGACACCCCTTGTTTGGGTAAGTTCTTTGTCTATTGTGAAGTTCTTTCTGTGGGTCAAGTAGTCAGCTACCCAGAGTGACAGCAAAAATCGTTCAGTGGATTGGGATATACACCCTCCGAAGGCTGGAGCATCCTGTTTTGTAGAAGGTATCTACTGGTGGGGAAATCATAGGCTTGCTTCAGGGGACTGTCAGATGTGTAGGAGGGCTGAAGTCAGAGATGAGATGGAATGACGCCAGGGAAAAGGGTTCCGTGACAGGCAGTTAGATGTTGGACACAGAGGAGAAAACGTAGGGGGTAGTGGGAAGTCTGATGTCAGGCACAGAAGGATGATGACTTCGGGGGCCAAAACCCGTTGTTGTCGACTGGATTGACTCCTAGTGAACCTATAGGGCAGAGTAGAACTGCACAATAGGGTTTCCAAGGCTGTAATCTTTGCCATTTCTTTCTCCTGCGGAGGGGCTGGTGGGTTTGAACCTTCAACCTTTTAGTTAGCAGCTGAAGGCTTACCACTGCACCACTAGGGCTCCTTACTTCAGAGGACAGGGCCATAAAACGTCGGGCCCTTGAAGGGTAAGAGGTTAGAGGACTAGAAGGTGAAGAGGGTAGAAATCAAGGGACATCAAAGGACGTAAATTATGTCGTTAGGGACCAAGAGGAAGACAATTGTGATGGTGAGGAGGATATTAGGACCAACTGGGGAGTGACATAAAGGACGCTGAGGATGATGTCAGGGTTGGAAAGGTGCATGAGATCAGAACCGTGAAATCGTTAAAAGTTCGTCTGCAGGAGGCATGATGACGTCAGGACGCACCAGTCAGACCCAAGCCGCCTCCATTCCTGGAGGCGCTCCGAGTGCATCGCTCCTTTTGCTCTGCCTTCCTTTCTCCCCGCCCCCCTTCCCCCAATTGGCCTCAACCAATGAACGCACACGCCGGTGCGCGCGCGGGGGACGTTCTGTGACGTGTCCTTTACGTACGCTTTATCAAGCGTCTTCCCGCGCGGCAGCCTCCTCGTTCTCTCTGCTTCTCAGCGTTGCTTGTTGTTCAGGCTGTTCAGTCTTTTAATTTTCAGGTAAGTAGTGTATAGGCCTGGGGAGCAAGTCGCTCCTTGCCTCACTCAATCGCGCCCTGTGAGAGCAGAGGTGCGCATGAGGAGAGCGGAGGCCTCTGACACGTAGGCTTGGGCTTCTCCGGGTGGGCACGTCCCGTAATAGTAGGTGAAACATTTCGGTTGATGGGAAGCCGGTGCACAGTATCCGATGGGAGGAATGTCAGGAGGGGCTGGCTGCATCGGTGGCGGTGGCGATGGCAATGGCAATGAAGAGGAGACAGCCGAGACCTGCTACCCTGTACCCTTCACACGTGACCGCCGCCATCTTGTTATGCGGGCGCAGAGGGAACGCTAGGGTGCTCTGGGCCTGCGTGGCCGCACAAAATGACTGGCGTAGTGGCTGGGAAGTTACGGGCATGCGCGTTGGCGCCCCACAAATGGCCGTCTGAGTAGCCCAGCTAATTCCCGCCTTTTCAGTCTTCCGTCTCTTACACCTTATTTTGTTCTTTTAGTGAGTTTTCCGCCTTTCATTTGTTAATCTTTTCCCCACTTCTCTAACTACCTCTATTTCTTTTCTCTCCCACCTTCACTATTTTTCCTGACCCTCTTTTTGTTCATCCAGCAGGATCCAAATTCACTGCCATGTCCTCTGAAGAAGGGAAGCTCTTCGTGGGAGGGCTCAATTTCAACACCGATGAGCAGGCATTGGAAGACCACTTTAGCAGTTTCGGGCCTATCTCTGAGGGTGAGACAAGAACCAAGCCAAGAGCAAGGGATGGGAGGGGAATTCTAGGGTCCTGGACTTAAACAGAAAGGTCAGTCAGTGTTCCAGACCTTCAAATTCATCTTGTGTTCTTAGGCTTAAGATGTAGATTTTTTCCGGCTGAGAAGAGCCCAATCAGTTTCTCTTCAGGATTGGTGGGAAGGGTTCCTTTTTCGGACCATTTCTTGTTCTCTCCCATTTCTAGAACTGACTAATCCACATTTTCCATCTCTCCCCTCCTTTCCCCAGTGGTTGTTGTCAAGGACCGGGAAACTCAGCGATCCAGAGGTTTTGGCTTTATCACCTTCACCAATCCTGAACATGCCTCAGATGCCATGCAAGCCATGAATGGAGAGGTGAGGCCTCCAACCTGCAGAGGGGCCCTGCCCCTATCTGCCAGCTCCTCCATTCTTCTGTTTTTCTCTCTGTGTCTGCTAGGGGCAGCGTGGCCACCAGGCCCCGCAGTGCCCACTCACAGGAGCGTGACTGCCTTCTGTTCTAGGGGGTGGAGGGCAGCGGCAGACAGAGCCAGGCTGCTTGGGAGGCGACGACTGGTCCTGCATGAGGCCGAGAAGCCACCTGTGGATGGTTGACCCGCCCTGGGCTTAGGTAGTAGAGTCTGCAGACCTGCGGGCCTGGCCCGGAGAGGACCTCGTGAGTCTTCTGGGATGGACTCTGAAGCCTCAAACCAAGAGAGGTGTCTGTCTAGCCCTAATAGGTGGGCAGCTTAGAGGAGTGGGGAGGAGAACTCAACCTGAGTTCAGTCAAGATGTAAGTAGTAGCAGGGGAAACACGGTGGATTCAGGTCATTTGTGGGATTTTGTAGCTCCTGATAAAGCCATTCTGGTTAAAGGAGCTTGTTCTGGAACATGGCACCCAGAACTTTGTGCCCAACAGGAATTTCTGGGCTCCTTTGCTCGTCTGCCCATGCCCACTCTTCCTTCACCACTGCCCTGACTGATGCCAACCTATCCTTGTGTCTCCTTCCCTCACGTAGTCCCTTGATGGTCGCCAGATCCGTGTGGATCATGCAGGCAAGTCGGCCAGGGGAACCAGAGGGGGTGCCTTTGGTGCCCATGGACGTGGTCGCAGCTACTCTAGAGGTAAGTGCATTGGTAAGTTTGGTCATGGAGTGAGGGGGAGTGGCCTTTGTCTTGCCAACTGCCATTTCAATGTTTCTTAATCTTTTGTAGGTGGCGGGGACCAGGGCTATGGGAGCAGCAGGTATGACAGTCGGCCTGGAGGATATGGATATGGATATGGAAGGTCCAGAGACTATGGTGGCAGGTAGGTAGCCAAGGGGTTGGAGTACTTTGGTGCTGTTTCTGTCTCCTTAAGAGCTCAGCTGCATGCATTTTAATCCAAGCACTAGTCAGTTGTATGACTTTAGTAAGTTGCTTGGACTTCATGGGAATAATAATACCAGCTTCATAGTATTGTGAAGATTGAACTTTAATATGGGTAAAGTGAATCAGTGTCTGGCACATAGTCAATGCTTAATAATACTAATTATGTGATTAGTTATATAATTATGACTTATAATAAATGTAAATATATGTGATAAATTATATCACACCATGGTATACTTTTGCTGATACCTGTAAAACTAAAACAATATGCAGTTTTATATTTTGAGTTGTACATAAATGTTAAGTATCCTAGTCGTATGGTCATCTATAATTACACCGTAGTAGAAAGCATATTGGGAGCTCTGGTAGCATAGTGGGTAAGACACTTGGCCTGCTAACCAGACGGCTGGCGGTTCAAACTCACCAGCCACTCCTTGGAAGGAAGGTTGGGCAATCCTACTTCGTAGTGATATTGCCTCGGAAACCCAGGGAGGGGTCGCTGTGAGTCAGGTTTGACTTGACGGCACATAACAACAACAACAGAAAGCATATTGATTTACTGTGTTGGTTAATTATATCTATTGTAATGATAGGTATATGCTATGGGGTGATGACATTCATATCCTTAATAAATCCTGCTTTATACATATTAAAGAGATTATGTTACAGTACTTAAGGAGTTCTGGTGGTGTAGTGCCTAAGGCACTTGACTGCTAACCAGAAGGCTGGCGGTTCAAACCCACCAGCCACTTCTCAGAAGGAAGGTTGGGCAATCCTTCTGTAGTGATAACTGCCTCGGAAACCCAAGGAGGGGTTGCTATGAGTCGGGGCCGACTCGACGGCACATAACAACAACATTATAAAAGTATATGATTATGTACCTAAACAACCAAACTTATTGCTGTCTAGTAAATTCTGACTTACAGTGACCCTATAGGACATTGTAGAACTGCCCCATACAATTTCCAATCATTATGAAAGCAGACATTACATCTTTCTCCCATGTAGTGACTGATAGGTTCAAACTGCCATCCTTTCTGTTAGCAACTGAGTTTTTAAACCACTGCACCACCAGAATTCTTTCACATGATACCATGAAGATACATGTACATATCTGGTTGTTTTTAATGTTAGGTGTGTATGAATACATTTCTACAACACAATTGTGTATGTTTTTCTCAGAAGCCAGGGTGGTTATGACCGCTACTCTGGAGGGAATTACAGAGACAATTATGACAACTGAGATGAGGCGTGCACATGTAATGTAGGTGAGAGTTGTATGTTCTTGGCATGAGCAGACTTCTGTTCATCCAGCCCTCTTGTGGTCCTCTCATCTTTTCTCTTTGTCAGACTGCTCAGCATTGCCACTACTTTCACATCACCCAGCCAGCCCACCTAATCTCAGTCTGGTGGGGGCGGGGGCAGGGACAGGGACAGGGTTCTGGAAACCATCTACTCTTGTTTGTTGGGAGTAAATACTAAGGGACGTGCCTGTGGTCCACCTCTCCAGATTCTCATCAACCCTGGGAAATAAGCATATCTTCAGTCTGTTCCTTCCTAATACTACAATTTTCCTCCTTCCTGTTCTCAGATACACAAGGAATAAAAGTTCTTCTGATCCAGGATCATCCTTCCAGGTGGCTGTATTTATAAAAGATTTTGGAGCTGCACTGAAACATCTTTGTTTTAGTACATCAACTTCTATTTTTGAATTGAGCTCCCACGGTAGCCTATTAAAGACCTTTTAGTAAATTCCATGTTTTTTAAACTTTTTTCTCCCATTTAAAGACAAATTCTGTGTCATTTGTAAAGTCTGGGTGTTTTTCTTTTATCAGTTAAGTTTGGGCACTCAGGATTCTCCTGGCAAAAGACTTGACCAGGTTGATGTTTTTATTTTTTTAATTAATGAGTATCAAGGGACATTTAAAAGTTTTGTACACGGTGTTTCTTTATCATAGTTAAAAAAACAATTTCCACACGTACCTGCAAGAAATCTGCATCAAGAATATGATTTTTTTTTTTACTCTACATTATGAGATCACCCTGATTATATAGGAAAGCTTAAAAATGTTTGTGAATGGCTTTTTTTTTTCTTTTTCTTTTTTTTGATACTGGAAGAAAAGATATTCTGTTGTGTTTCATGTAGTGTTTAGGACGTCTTTCATGGAGCCCATTAAAAAGATGGCATTTGAAAACCAGTGTTGGCAGTGCTTTTTCCTTAATTTAGTTTGCAAATACAAAGTTCAGAAGGTGGGAGGCTTTGAAAAGAGATTGAATGGAGGATTGCCTGTGAAGGGGTGGACCTTGACTTGTCTGCTTGAGCATCAGAATGCTTGGGTTTGGATAGGTTGTTTTGATAATGTAACTAACTACCTAATCTTATGGTAACAACAGTACTCTCATGGTTCCAGTTCCTTTCCCAGAAGTGGTAGGGGGTGTGGAGGCTCACTTTTATACAAGGAACATGGGGGAAAATTTCATTTTTCCTAGACAGTTAAGATTCCACAATTCAGTCCAGGCTCTGCTACTTCCCAGGCATTTGACTTTGGTAAGTTGTTTAACCTCTGTCTCAAGCCTCCCAATAGGCCTCATTATTAGTTTCTGTCGATGGTTAATTAACAGGCATATAAAGCCATTCATTACAAACAGTTGGTAAAGCTTTCAGTCACAGTGATTCAATCTTAGTGTGAAGACACTTTTAAGTCTGGGTCTGTAACTAGTTCTTAGTTCTCCCTTTAGTTGGTTCTGGTGGCTGAGTTGGAGTCCTATGGATTTGATCTCTCCGTTGATTCCAGTTTGCAGCTAAAAAAAGTGATGTCTCTGGCTTTTACCTGGCTTGTGTTGAGCCAAGTACCGCTGGATTGATAAGCTCTCCCACATCACATTCCATTACTGAGGTGTGAGGCCCTGTATTGTGAGTGAGTCTTTGAGGACTGCCACCTGGGTCTCCCAGCCTTCCCACACATGTAAAAGTGATGAATTTGCTTTGGCAGGTAAATGGGGAAAGGGACTGCTCAGACTTTAGCCTCACCCACAGAGCCAGGCCTAGGTTATGGGGCATTGTGGCTATTCCTACTAGGTGGGTACTTAGTATGATTAGATTTTTTAGCTGGGCTGTTGGTAAGCTGAGCCCATGAGAACTGACGGGGGAACCAGCAATATCAGTGCTTTCTAGGTGGGTGGGATGTGTATGTAGGAGACAGCTCCTTGCTCTCTGGTAAAGAAAGGCAGTATCCCATGATCAACCAAAATTTATGCAATAAAATGGATCTAAGTGGAAAGACCTCATCTCACATAGTTTGGTCATGTCAGAAGGGCCCATTCCCTGGAGAAGGATGTCATGCTTGGTAAGGGGGAGGGTCGACGAAAGAGGGGAAGGCCTTCAATGAGATGTATTGACACGGTGGCAGTGGTGATGGGCTCAAGTATAGCAAGGATCGTGGAGCTGGTGCAGGACTGGGTGGTGGTTAGTTATGCTGTACATAGGGTCTCTGAGTCAGAGATGATGTGAGGGCACCTAACAAGAGGGGATCAGTGGAGACTATGAGCCTCATTACCAGTTGTGACTCATGGCCACCCCATGTATTCAGAGTAGAACTGTATAGGGTTTTCAAGGTTGTGACTTTATGGAAATACATTGCCAGGCCTCTGGCAACTAGTTTTATATGTGTTTTATCCAAATCTGATTAAAGTTTATGTAACTAAAGAACACCATTGAGACCAGAAACCTCTGAACATCAAAGATATGTTGTATACCAAGGCTTTTATATATAGACCAAGCTCCTGGCCTGCAGATACTTTGCATTTTCAAGCTCTGGATCTTTAACAATAACAAAAACTGATAGCCAGCACCATTTTTACATAGCCTCCCAGCCCATTTAAAGGTTCAGAGTAAATTCTAATTTCAGCTTGATTTAAAATCCTGAGCCAGTGCTTCTATCCTGTGTGGCCAAGAATCACTGTTTCCACGTCCTACTTCCTAGCTCAATTCTCTATCTCCATTTCACTATCTTTAAACTTTGAATAAGGTACCCACCTTACAGAGGGCTTAGTATTAAATGATTTAAAGATCTTTAAAGAAAATACCTAAAATGGCTCTTTTTTAAGAGTTTGTTTTATATTCAATGTTATGTGTACATTTAGTTTCACTCATTTACCATGCCCAAACCTAACCCAGTCTCCTCCCCTCCCTGCCCAGTAACCCTCCCCCCATGCCCCTCATAGTTATGCACTCTTGTTTGTCCTGCATGTCCTCCCCATGAATGTTGCCTCTCTGGTGCCCCATGGTCTATTGCTCTAAGGGATGGATTTCCATAGAGTATGTGAGTGCGTCACCCTGGGTTGAGTGTCCTGTGTGTACATCTTGTTTACTATTGGGCTGAGAACCAGCCCCTGGGAGTGAGTTTTATTCCACGTCCAGAATGTATCCCAGGGCCATACTATTGGGGGTCTCACCAGACTCCATCTGAACAGTAATTCTGGTCATTATTGAATTTTTGGATTTTGTTCCACATTTTTATTCCCACTCTATCCAGGATCTCCAGATAGGAACCTCTCCTGAGTGGTTGGAGGAGACCATTAGGTGCATCTTAGATGGCCTCTTGAAAGCTTT